AACACAAAGCTCTAGTTAACTTTAAGTCCACTTATTTCCCCCAAAGTTTATATAATCCATAATAAAATAAATACATACAGTAAGACCAATAAAATAAATATGCCATTTAATTTTTAATAAATACACCATTTGAATTTTTTTAAATTTTTTGTATGTAGGACATTATATTAAGTGCATCTCATGTAGCTCGTACATTTAATCCTAATTGAAACTATGAAGGACTATTATCCTCATTTCACTCTTTAGGAAACTGAAGCTTCAAGGGTGAATGAAATCCACAAATATGGAGTGATCAAATTGTAATAGCATCTAGAACTGACTTGTTTTTAACCATCACAACATACTATTTCACCTTATAAATAAAAAAAAAATTTTTTTTTTGGTCTTTTTGAGACAGGGTCTCCCGGTAGCCCCAGCTATCCTAGAACTCATTATGTAGACCAGGCTGGCCTTGAACTCACAGAGATCCGCCTGCCTCTGCCTCCTGAGTGCTGGGATTAAAGGCATGCGCCACCATGCCAGGCCCAATATTTTTCTTTTTAAAAGACATAGCATGTAAATCTATCTGCTTTTAGTAGGCAAGGGTAACTCAAATATTAAACCTTTATTAAGAATTTTATGTCGAAGAGAACTCTACTTGTGATCATGCCTAATTATGATCTTTACCCAAATACAAACTGCTTATATTAACCTGAAACTTGGTAAATAAGATGGGTATGAGGAGTTCTGAGGTACCTTAAAATATTCTTCTACACTGACTCACCTCAAGAGAAACCAGACCAGATACATCCTCTGGGATCTTGGTGAGCTGATTAGTGGCTAAATTCAGTTCTACCATACTGGTCCAAGTTCCAAAATCCAAAGGAAGTGATGTTAACTGATTGTCCTGGCAAAGACACAAAGAAGCATCCCAGGTAAAACCACAGAAAAGAGGTTCCCATTTGTACCACTCTTAGAAAAGAAAAATTTTAAACAGAAAACTTTATTTTCTTTCTTGACATCTAAATATAGAAAGAAAACAAGAGGCTGGTGTGGTGGTGCTCATTTTTAATCCCAGCACTCAGGAGGCAGGGCAGGCAGATCTCTTAAATTGAGGCCTGCCTGGTCTACATAGCAAGTTCCAGGCCAGCTGAAGCTACAGGAAGACCCTGCCTCAAAAATCAAACAACAAAAACAGGAAAGAACAAAAAACTCACCAACAAAACCTCTGAACTTCCAAAGTTTTAAGCAAATAGGCTTTTATTATGAGGTTAAACTAGATTTCTTTGTAATTAAAATAAAAAAATATACAGAGAAATCACTTGAAATTTCAGAGATCCTGGTGATGTTTTCTCCATTTTATGATAATGTACAAAATCACTGATCAAAACAGGAATGCTCAAATTGAGATATGAACACAGAAAGCTGGCAAGATGGCTCACTGGGTACATGTTCCTGCCACCAAGCCTGACAACTAAGTTCAATCCCCAGCCCAAATGGTGGAAGGTGAGAACCAACTCCAAAAGCTGTCTTCTGACCTTCACACATAGGTGTACCATGTTGATCTCACCAGTGCATAAACACATGCACACAAAAATGAATAAATGTAATTTCTAAAACAAACAAAGATTTACTACTAGTGCTTATACGTAAGGAGAAAAATGTCAAGCTTCATTTTGTTCTTTTTCAAGAAAAAATTTTGTTAAACATTTATCATGTTTAAAGAAAAATTAAGATAAAGTTCTATGTTAAGCTTCATTTTTATTTTACTGGAAAACAGCAAGCCTGATTAAGCTAACATATTATAAATCAGATCTATTAAAATGCATACTCAAATACAAAGATTAATGAACTGTACTATAATGTTCTAAACTCAATAAAAGTGAGATTTATTTTTATTATCTATGCTGGGGATGGAACCCAGAAGGTTGTGCACGATAGGCGAGCAATCTGTTGCTAAAGTTAAGTCACCAGCACTGTTAAGAAATGAACATTCGGGAGGAATGCTACCTATACTGTATTACTATAACTGCATGTTATAATCATATAAACAGGCTAAGAAACTCTATGCTGATTTTAACATGATCTTGAATTAACATTTTACTTACATATATTCAAAGAATTATCATGATCAAATATTGATATAACAAAAAATTATATATTTAGGTTGTAAAGAACCACAATTATAATTTAAAGACAGACGCGGCATGGTATGATAGAAAGAACATTATTAATCTAGATTTTTTTTTAAAAAGCTAGGCTTCCTGGATTCCTGCTCTGCTGTAGTCAAGAATTAGATATTGGTCATTTCAGTTAACTTCTCTGGGCCTAAAATATGTTCATTAGAAATTAAGTCACTGCACTAAGAATTTTTCATTTATTTTCTCCTTCCATAATGAGCTTTACTATAAATGCAAAAGCCATTCACTGTAGAGTGTACAGATAAGCAAAGCAAAACAAAACAAAAACTTCTGAGATGATTCATCCAAAGAGAAAAACACTTTACAAACCACTGGCTATATATAGTTACATAAATAAATATTTAAGTACTTAATGCACAATCAGCCTATTACAACAGTCAAATACATGTAGAAAGATATTTTTATAGGCTTTAACTTCTATTTAATAAATTCAGAATACTGCAACTGATATTTAACATTGCTTTAGCCTAGATTTTGGTGGTTCCACAGTATGCCATTGAGATATATTAAACAATTAAAGCTTACTGACTTCAATAAGTTTACACCTAGGAAATATGCAATAAGTATCCTTGCAATTATACTTCTATGGGCATCCATGATTATTTCTTGAGGACAAACTCCTAAAGGTATGCTCAGATTTAAAGTATTTGTTATCTGATGAAAATTGTTCTGAAGAAGCTGTAGATATGGCTCAAGTGAAGAACACTGGCTGCTCTTACAGACGATCCAGCTTCAGTTCCCAGCACCCACATGGCAGCTAACAGCCATCCATAATACTAGTTCCAAGGGATCCAACATCCTCTTCTGACCTCCGTGGGCACTGCATGCATGGGTACACTTAGATAAATGCATGCAAAACTCATACACATAAAAATAAAAGATTTTTTAAAACTTCCCTGAAGTATCCTTGTCAACACTTTAGGTTTCATCAACAAGGTATTACCTATTCTCCACAATTAATAGAGAAAATACAAATGTGAGAATCAGTTATTTCCCCCTCTCAAAACAACAACAACAACAAAATGCTTACCTTCATATTCAGCTTACTTAACACTTTTGCTCTGGAGAAAATTCCAAAAGGGATTTTGTTGATTCGATTATGTTCCATATTGAGGGAATAGATGGTAGAAAACTGAGATGGACCACCCACTGGATATAACTGGAAGCAATTTCTAGCTAAGGTCAAGCTATTCAATTTTACAAGGCTGGATAAAAGACTCTGTAAAAACCAAGTAAAAGATTTAGAAATGAAACAATATTTTTTCTAAACACATCAACAGTTCCAAATACAAATGCCTAAAAAGACTTGCAGGAAATAAATGAGACTGGTTGAGGTGCTTCTGTGATTCTCAAGACAACCACTACTCAGATCTACTGCTGTGCCTTGTAGAGATTGTAGAATTTGCACTTTATAAGAAACAAGAAACCCAATTTTTATTATTTAAACTTGTTTTACTTAGAACACTCCATAGAGTAAAGAAAGTGTAGCTGTGGATGTGAAGTGTCCAATAGGTAGCCAGTCTGAGACCTTTATCAAGCAGAAACTTTAGTGTGAGACAGACACTAATGGGTTCACTGACTGCAACCAATCCTACAATGGTCTTAGAAGCATACCTATCTCCTCATTAGGTGAAGAGAAATTAATTCCTGGCACTGGGCAAATTCAGTAATTCAATGATTTCCTGAGGAATTTAATAGAAGAATGAACTTCATGATACCATATGTTTAATTTCAATCTGGTAAAATCTGAGAGCATACAAGAATCAAACAAGTACTTACTAAGTATATAACCTTATCTCCCTTTAATTTAACTTCCCACTATGTAGATGAAGTGGTAGGTATTCAGATATAAAACAATCTCTGGTGTTAAGACTAATCCCTACTTAAAGGACACTGATAAGAAACAATGGGAAAATAATACATTAATTGTGTCTAATCAGTAAAAAAATTATATAGAATAGGCTTTTCCTATGGAAAGTCTGGATCAAGCAACATCAAATCAGCATCCCTTGCAGCCTGTCAGAAACATAGGCTATGGGCCTACTCCCACAGAATCATAATATTCATTATGAGAATACTCACCAGTGATTTATGAGAAACTCTGTTATAGAATAAAACAGTTTAGAATCCTGGCTCTATCTTTTAATATCTATGTTCCAAGAGCCATTGTTGACAAGAGACTCAGTAAAACTTTATTTCCTGAGTCTCTTGCCAACAATGTTACTATTCTTACAACTGACTTTCTCTACTGAACTGACATCCCTCTGTGACAGAAGGTTAGTACATGAGATACTGGGAAGGTACAACACAAAGGCAATTCCTCACTCTTTGTTTTTTATGGCATAGTGTGCAATGTGGTGGCTGTGGATTCCTATTGTATATCTTGTTCTTTAACAGTTTTGCCAACTCTGGTAATAATTAGATAATCTGCTTCATCATATTTTCAGAAAAATATTTAATCACAAATGTGGCCCCAAACATTAACTTCCCTTAAATTTTATTTTCCTATCTATAAGCAATAGCCCTGCCAAAACATTAGGATTATACTGAAAAGTAAATCAAACAAAACTTGCAGAGCTGTTAGCCTCATGATGAGCATGTAGTTAACTTTTTCCTTTATTTATATAGAGCTACATTAAAACTAGCCTGTTTTAAGATATCTCCGAATGGAAAAAGTTAGTCATTTTAGCCAGTTCTGATTTCAGGAATTAAATGAGCCTCTATTGCAAACCACTGTCATAATTTATCTTACCTCTAGTTTGAAAGTTCTGTAAGATTTATCTAATGGATTTTATTGTTTTCTTTGCTGAGTCTGTTATAGAGACAATTACACATTTGCATTAAAATATGCTACTTCCAGGCTAGAGAGACAGCTCAGCAGTTAAGATCACACACATGCAGGCCATACACTCATATATATATATAAAATAAAAATAATAAAGTATGTTTTAAAATAAATAGAATATACTACTTCCAAAGTATACAGATAATTTTTAAGTAAGATTTAATGATTTTTATATTTGGAAAAAGCCAACCAAAGGCTTCCCCTTCCCCAAAGTATATTTGAAAATAGGCACCTATGCATATACACTTTATAATCTTCCACATTCAGACCAACAAGAACAGTTCTTTTTATAATCCTCTTATCAAAAGTAACAAGAGGGCTTAAATACTCCCAGGCCTAAGACATGGAATAAATTTTGTTATTGTTGTTGTTTCCTGTTTAAAAACAGATGTAAAAGGATCAGCTCTGGCCAGAGATTACAAGGAGGGAGGGATAAATGGGTAGGTGGAACACAGAGGCTTAAATACTATCAAATTTCATTTGCTAAATATCATGAAACCAGAGATACCATTATAAATCTACCTAAAAACAGGGTCTGGAGAGATGGCTCAACAGTTAAAACACTGACTGCTCTTGTAGAGGACCTGGGTTCAGTTTCCCAGCACCCACATGGTTCCTGACAACCATCTGTAACCCCAGTTCTAAGGGATCGATCTGTTGTCCTCTTCTGCTTCCTCAGGCATTACACACATGTGGTACATTTATATACACAAACACATAGGCAAAACATTCATACATCATCCAAACAAAAGTAAAATAATTTTTTAAAAATTGCCTAAACCCACAAAATGCTCAATACCAAGAATGTACCCTAACGTAAACTATGTACATTAGGCGTTCATGTTGTACACAGTGATTCATCAACTGTCATTATTATACAAACGCTGCGGTGGGATGCATGTATGTGTGGGGACAGGAGATATATAGTAAATCTGCACTATCTACTCATTTTGCTGAACCTAAAATTTCTCCTTAAAAAAATTAATTCTGGGCCAATGAGATGGCTCACCAGGTAAAGGAGCTTGAGACCAAGCCCAACAGCTGAGTTCAATCCATGAGCCTACATGTTGTTTGACCTCCACAAGCACATTGTGGCTAGCATGTGCACACGCACATACACAAATAAATAAATAAATAAATAAATTTTGGCTTATTTCAGTTAGAAAATATTATATATGAAAGTAACTACCTATGAAAATGTCCATATCCTATCAGCCCAATAATTATTAGCTTTCCTTCACTGACAATAGAGATATATACGTATGTGTATGTGTGTCTGTGTGTGTATTTACATGTTTAAACTTGTAGAGACCCAGTCTTTATGTTTAGAAATATGGACACACTAAAAGCAGTTGATCATAAGGTCACTATCACACCCAAAGAGAATCTCCTCAAGAATTTAGGTGGGCAAAGTAAAACATATGTAATCTTAGCACTCAGGAAGCTAAGGCAAGAAGACTGCTCCAAGTTCGAGGTCAGCCTGAGCTATAGAGTGAGTACCAGATCAGCAAGGCTACACAAAACCCTGTCTTAAAAAGCAAAAACAAAACAAAACAAAAAAATCACCAACAAGAATTAATGTGCTAAATGCCCTATTACAGGTAAGTCACCATTAGAGAAAAAGTATAACATTAAACAGTATAAGCTCACCCATTTTGATTGTTCTACATTATAACCAGAGGACAAAAATCCTGATAGTCTGGTCCTTGGCACTGGAGCTGTATCTGTGGATTATACTGCCTTATCTCACTTAATGCTGCCAATCACAGTACTCTTGTGCTATAGAAAAGGTACTATTATAGTACTCTTAATATTGTCTAGCCTAGGACCTGCAACCATGGAAACTCATCTTTACATTCTAACCAACTTGTTTCCAGAAAACACACAACCAAATTAATGTTGGCCAAATTAACAGATGTTACATTGTTTTGTTTGGTTTTGGTTTTGGTTTCCCTAGGAAACAAATCAAATGAGTTAAATTCATTTTATGAATTTATTAATCTATAGTTGCATCTACTCAAATGGTTCTTCATATATATAGTATAACCTTATACATACCCATATATGTAAATAGATAAACTAGCAAT